AGGAGTCTGTGGGACAAAAAAAACTTTGTCCTTGGGGGGCCGGGGGAAAATGTATGAGAGATTTTTACCAACGCTTTTTATATGGGGTGAAGATGGGTGATGAATGGGGGCAGCGAGGAGAAGGCTGGAGGAAAGTGGAGATGTCATGTCTGAGAGCAATGTGTGGTGTGAATATAATGCAGAGAGTTGTAGTTTGGAAGTTAGGAGGAGGTGCGGGATTACCAAAACTGTTGTCCAGAATGCTGAGGAAAGGTTGTTGAGGTGGTTCGGACATGTGGAGAGAATGGAGCGAAACAAAATTTAACTTCAAGAGTGTATCAGTCTGTAGTGGAAGGAAGGCGGGGTTAGGGGTCGGCCTAGGAAAAGGTTGGGGGGAGGGGGGTTAAAGGAGGTTTTGTATGCGAGGGGCTTGGACTTCCAGCAGGCATGCGTGAGCGTGTTTGATAGGAGTGAATGGAGACAAATAGTTTTTAATACTTGATGTGCTGTTGGAGTGTGAGCAAAGTAACATTTATGAAGGGGTTCAGGGAAACCGGCAGGCCGGACTTGAGTCCTGGAGATGGGAAGTACAGTGCCTGCACTCTGAAGGAGGGGTGTTAATGTTGCAGTTTAAAAACTGTAGTGTAAAGCACCCTTCTGGCAGGACAGTGATGGAGTGAATGATGGTGAAAGTTTTTCTTTTTCGGGCCACCCTGCCTTGGTGGGAATCGGCCAGTGTGATAATAAAAAAAATAATAAATAATAAGTTTACCGAGTATACAAGGAAAAGTATACGGTAGGGTTATAATTGAAAGAATTAGAGGCAAGACAGAATGTAGGATTGCGGATGAGCAGGGAGGCTTCAGAGTGGGTAGGGGATGTGCAGATCAAGTGTTTACATTGAAGCATATATATGAACAGTATTTAGATAAAAGTAGGGAAGTTTTTATTGCATTTATGGATTTAGAAAAGGCATATGATAGAGTGGATAGGGGAGCAATGTGGCAGATGTTGCAAGTATATAGAATAGGTGTTAAGTTACTAAATGCTGTAAAGAGCTTTTATGAGGATAGTGAGGCTCAGGTTAGGGTGTGTAGAAGAGAGGGAGAATACTTCCCGGTAAAAGTAGGTCTTAGACAGGGATGTGTAATGTCACCATGGTTAATATATTTATAGATGTATGGTAGAGTTATTATTGAAAGAATTAAGAGTAAGATGGAGAATAGGATAGCTGATTAACAAGGAGGCTTTAGGAAAGGTAGGGGGTGTGTGGACCAGGTGATTACAGTGAAACATGTAAGTGAACAGTATTTAGATAAGGCTAAAGAGGTCTTTGTGGCACTTATGGATTTGGAAAAGGCGTATGACAGGGTGGATAGGGGGGCTATGTGGCAGATGTTGCAGGTGTAGGAGGTAGGTTACTGAAAGCAGTGAAGAGTTTTTACAAGGATAGTGAGGCTCAAGTTAGAGTATGTAGGAAAGAGGGAAATTATTTCCCAGTAAAAGTAGGCCTTAGACAAGGATGTGTGATGTCACCGTGGTTGTTCAATATATTTATAGATGGGGTTGTAAGAGAAGTAAATGCGAGGGTCTTGGCAAGAGTCATGGAGTTAAAAGATAAAGAATCACACAAAGTGGGAGTTGTCACAGTTGCTCTTTGCTGATGACACTGTGCTCTTGGGAGATTCTGAAGAGAAGTTGCCGAGATTGGTGGATGAATTTGGTAGGGTGTGCAAAAGAAGAAAATTAAAAGTGAATACAGGAAAGAGTAAGGTTATGAGGATAACAAAAAGATTAGGTGATGAAAGATTGGATATCAGATTGGAGGGAGAGAGTATGGAGGAGGTGAATGTATTCAGATATTTGGGAGTGGACGTGTCAGCGGATGGGTCTATGAAAGATGAGGTGAATCATAGAATTTATGAGGGGAAAAGGGTGAGCGGTGCACTTAGGAGTCTGTGGAGACAAAGAACTTTGTCTTTGGAACAGTATTTAGATAAAGGTAGGGAAGTTTTTATTGCATTTATGGATTTAGAAAAGGCATATGACAGAGTGGATAGGGGAGCAATGTGGCAGATATTGCAAGTATATGGAATAGGTGATGAGTTACTAAATGCTGTAAAGAGTTTTTATGAGGATAGCAAGGCTCAGGTTAGGGTGTGTAGAAGAGAGGGAGACTACTTCCTGGTAAATGTAGGTCTTAGACAGGGATGTGTAATGTCACCATGGTTGTTTAATATATTTATAGATGGGGCTGTAAAAGAAGTAAATGCTAGGGTGTTCGGGAGAGGGGTGGGATTAAATTATGGGGAATGAAATACAAAATGGGAATTGACAGTTACTTTTTGCTGATGATACTGTGCTTATGGGAGATTCTAAAGAAAAATTGCAAAGGTTAGTGGATGAGCTTGGGAGTGTGTGTAAAGGTAGAAAGTTGAAAGTGAACATAGAAAAGAGTAAGGTGATGAGGGTATCAAATGATTTAGATAAAGAAAAATTGGATATCAAATTGGGGAGTAGTATGGAAGAAGTGAATGTTTTCAAATACTTGGGAGTTGATGTGTCGGCGGATGGATTTATGAAGGATGAGGTTAATCATAGAATTGATGAAGGAAAAAAGGCGAGTGGTGCGTTGAGGTATATGTGGAGTCAAAAAACGTTATCTATGGAGGCAAAGAAGGGAATGTATGAAAGAATAGTAGTACCAACACTCTTATATGGGTGTGAAGTTTGGGTTGTGAATGCACCAGCGAGAAGACGGTTGGAGGCAGTGGAGATGTCCTGTCTAAGGGCAATGTGTGGTGTAAATGTTATGCAGAAAATTCGGAGTGTGGAAATTAGGACAAGGTGTGGAGTTAATAAAAGTATTAGTCAGAGGGCTGAAGAGGGGTTGTTGAGGTGGTTTGGTCATTTAGAGAGAATGGATGAAAGTAGAATGACATGGAGAGCGTATAAATCTGTAGGGGAAGGAAGGCGGGGTAGGGGTCCTCCTCGAAAAAGGTTGGAGGGAGTGGGTAAAGGAGGTTTTGTGGGCGAGGGGCTTGGACTTCCAGCAAGCGTGCATGAGCGTGTTAGATAGGAGTGAATGGAGACGAATCATATTTGGAACCTGACGAGCTGTTGGAATGTGAGCAGGGTTATATTTAGTGAAGGGATTCAGGGAAACCGGTTATTTTATATAGCTGGACTTGAGTCCTGGAAATGGGAAGTACAATGCCTGCACTCTAAAGGAGGGGTTTGGGATATTGGCAGTTTGGAGGGATATATTGTGTATTTTTATACGTATATACTTTAAAACTGTTGTATTCTGAGCACTCTGCAAAAACAGTGACTGTGTGAGTGAGGTGAAAGTGTTGAATGATGATGAAAGTATTTTCTTTTGGGGGATTTTCTTTCTTTTTGGGTCACCCTGCCTCGGTGGGAGACGGCTGACTTGTTTATAAAAAAAAATTATTTCTCATTGTTTTGTGAATGTAAAACTATAGTTATTCTCTATAAAATGTATTTTTTGCTAATACTTTTGGGTGTCTGAAATGGATTAATTGGATTTACCTTATTTCTTACGGGAAATATTATTTTGGTTTTCAGCCATTTCGGATTTAGGCTAACCTTCTGGAACAGATTACAGCCGATAACAGAGGGGCCACTGTACGTGTAACTGGTGTATCTGATACATCAATCACAATTTGGATTTAATAAGAAATGTTTGTTCAGTTTTTATTGCATCTCTAATTACAACATAATAAACTTATTAGAAAATGAGGTTCCTTTGGTGTAACAAATGTTTAGCCGAGTCATTTCTCTAGAGCATGTCAAGCAGGTGATAATAAGTTGGAAGGGAAAGAATTACATTAATCACATTAACTTGACACATGTACTCACCAAGATAAGCAGCTCGAATCTCTTATCTGGGGCCAGGTATCTAGGCATAATCAAGAGGCAGTAGAGGGTGATATCATACACATCTTGCTGGTGACCCAACATTTTGCTGCCTAATGCTGTGGGCAGAAACATAAATTTGTAGCACAATGAAGAAATCCTTAATATATTACACATTAAGCTTTGATCTTAAAATTATTTGAAATTATCAAAAAAGAAAATCACAATTTAAAGAAATAATATTCACTGGGACAAGGTATGATGCGAGCACAGGAAACTTATGATGAAACAAAACTATGTGAACCAAGACAGTACAGTGTACAGTAGCATGCAAATTAATTGGGACAGGAGCCAATTTTTTTTATTATATATCTTAGTTTCTGGCTTAATTAATGTAATTTAGGTTCTTTTCCTTTCAGAAAAGTTTGCTACTGACTTCTTGCAACCATCCAGCTGTGAAGTTACCCTGCAACTCTTGTAAGTGTTACAACAGCTGTTGTAACACTTACAAGCATGCTCCGTAAGTGAAAGGTTTCTCCAAATTCCCCATTCCTATTCATGATTACTGCTGAAATTTATAATGGATGTTACACCAAGTGTGCAAGTATTATAGCTCTTAGAAAATGTGCTGATCTGAGTATCAGACAGATCACCAAAATTTGAGCCTAGCAAAGTTAACTGTTGGTCGGATTCTGAGGAGAGCTGACAACACTGGTGATTGTGAAGTAGTGTGTCTAGGAAGATGTGGAAGGAAACTCAAGACTATATCTGATGACAAGAAATAGTGTGAAGGATCCCAAGAAGACCAGCAAAGATCTACAGAGAGATTTGGCTCCTTGAAGTTGGCAGAACTGCCAGAAAGCCTGTAAAGAAACCACTGGCGTTGCTAGGGTTGGTGTCACCCGGGGCGGCATCTTTGGTGTCACCCCATAAAATCCTGGGGTGGGGGGATAGGGGGGAGATATTCCAGTTGCATCACTACTGCATGCCCAATGACTAATGTTTAGCAATGAGAATCTTTAATGGCCATAAACCAAACAGAATATTTCTCAACTTTATTAATGACAAAAATAAATACTCATAGTAATACGTATTGAGGAAACAAACTCAAATACAATGGGTACAGGTTACAGACCCTACATTTATTCATCTTCAACAATGAAAAAAAAAAAATTGAAAAATACAGAAAAACATTGCAATATCAGAGAAACACTAGTTCTGATTTGACCTTGAGTACAGGTAACATCTCAATGAATCAGATCTTGCATTCCTTGCTTTCAATCCTGTAAAACCACCTATCACATCATCAAAATCAATGTTGTCAACTGACCCATTTTCTATGGATAACACTGCTAAGTCAGAGATTCTGGATTGACTCATTGTGGACTGTAAACAGCTTTTAATCAGCTTCAACTTCGAAAAACTCCTTTCACAAAAAGCCACAGAAACACACATTGTAAGGAACAACCTCAGGCAGTGAGAGAGTTGAAAGAGACCTGACTAGCTTGTGCTGCTGGGTCTGGTGCAGTGCTCCATCCTTGAGCGGAGGTGACCAGACTGGGTGGGTCATTGGGCTAATCCCGGGGGGAGGGGGGGGATGGACCTGCTCCACATGGGTCAGTGAGCCTGTTGCGGTGTTCCTTCTTTCTTATGTAATGAAATCCCATTCACTTATGAATGTTAATGCAGCCAATGCAGTCCAATGCTTAACTCTGTCAAGCTCAACATCAGCAGCTTGCAGGTGTCTCCTTAGTTTTGATATTTGAAGCATGAGCTTATTCTTGCACATTTCAATTTAGAAGGCTGTTAGCGTTGAAGCCATCACCTCCAATTCTTCAGTAGCTTGCACAAGATTCTTCATTTGAATGACCCCAAACATGGCTGCCACATCCTTGATTGCTTTTGATTGCATCTCGAGTTCATTATGAAAATGATCAAAGCACTCCAACATCACCCTCTCGTTTTCTTCCGGTAGAGTGAGTCAGGAATCTCTTGCCTGCTCCCCTGCCATCCTTTTCTTTAACCTAATTCTTCTCTGTTGGAAATCCATACTCCTCATATTTCAAAAGTGCCTGTTGTATTGAATTTTACAATATGCGATCTCACCCTTCATACAAAAATAATTGCAGTGCCTCTAGCTTCACCACCACTTTGTCAAGAGTTAGATCCTTAGTCTGCAAGTACTGCTGTGCAAGCTGAACCTCCCATAGTATGTCACACCAGAAATACAGATAACACAATAATGTGAAATCGCACACAGCAGGGAGTAGACCTTGTGCTGCTCCTCTTGTATCCAAATTTTCCTGTGGATTGCAAAGAGCTTCAATCACTGTCACAAATTTCTTGAACGATTCTGCTACTGATTTTACTCCACTGTAATGACAACTCCATCTTGTTGCTGATTATCTTTTCAAAGAGACTGCAGTATGGTCCATTAATACATCCCATCGATGAGTGGAGGAGGCATAGCATGTGTATGCTGACTGCCAAAAAAATTCACACATGATGAATTCTCAGCAAAAGAATGCTGACTACACCATAGAGGCTCTATGGTGTCACCCGGGGCAGCCCAGGTGATACCACATCACAACCCGGCAGTGGAAACTTGATCATAAGGGATGGACAAAAGATGGAAAAAAGTTATATTTTCAGATGAGGCACAGTTTGAAATACATAGGTTCAGATTAGTGGTAGTGAACTGGAGGAAAGGACACAGTCAACAAGTACCAAAACACCCACATAAGAAAATGTTTTGGGGTATTTTTACTGCTAAAAGCCCTGGATGGCTTGTTATTGTTGATGGAATGATGAACAGACAAATACAGGGCAATATTGGTAACTCATTTGCTTCATACTGTGGACTGAGACTTTCCTGATGGAGAAGGCATTTTCCAGCAGGATCTTGCTCCATGCCACACTTCCATAAAAATGCTGTCATTCTTCAAAGAGAGTGGGCTAAGCATTCTAAATTGGCCTGGAAGCTCTCCTGACCTTAACCCAATTGAGAATCTATGGGCTATAACCAAACACAGGAATGTGAAACAGGACTGTTCAACTCTGGAGAAGCTACTTGCTGCTGTTATTAGGACCTGGTACCATGACAAGAACTTGCCAAAATGTGTTCAACATTGGTTGATTCTATGCCAAAGCATGCAGAAAGGCTTATAAAAGCAAAGAGTAGTCATATCTCTTATTAAATCAATTACAGTGGAACCTCGGTTTACATATGCCTTAGTTTGTATGTAAAACTATAGTTATTCTCTATAAAATGTATTTTTTTGTTAATATTTCCCATGATCAGTTATGGAAGGAGAAAAGAGAATATGAATGTGTAAATTCAAGAATTATGTGGATTAAAGTAAAGGTTGGATGCGAGAAGTGGGTCATAATAAGCGTGTATGCACCTGGAGAAGAGAGGAATGCAGAGGAGAGAGAGAGATTTTGGGAGATGTTAAGTGAATGTATAGGAGCCTTTGAACCAAGTGAGAGAGTAATTGTGGTAGGGGACCTGAATGCTAAAGTAGGAGAAACTTTTAGAGAGGGTGTGGTAGGTAAGTTTGGGGTGCCAGGTGTAAATGATAATGGGAGCCCTTTGATTGAACTTTGTATAGAAAGGGGTTTTTGTTATAGGTAATAATATTTTAAGAAAAAGAGGTTTAAATAAGTATACACGATATGATTTTGGGCGAAATGACAGTGTTTGTTGGTTTATGTATTGGTAGATAAAAGACTGTTGAGTAGACTTCGGGAAAGTACATGTTTATAGAGGGGCCACAGATTATCAGATCACTTTCTAGTTGTAGCTACACTGAGAGTAAAAGGTAGATGGGATACAAGGAGAATAGAAGCATCGGGGGAAGAGAGAGGTGAAGGTTTATAAACTAAAAGAGGAGGCAGTTAGGGTAAGATATAAACAGCTATTGGAGGATAGATGGGCTAATGAGAGCATAGGCAATGGGGTTGAAGAGGTATGGGGGAGGTTTAAAAAAAGTAGTGTTAGAGTGTTCAGCAGAAGTTTGTGGTTACAGGAAAGTGGGTGCAGGAGAGGAAGAGGAGCATTGGTGGGAAAGATGATGTAAAGAGAGTAGTAAGGGAAAAGTTAGCATATGAGAAGTTTTTACAAAGTAGAAGTGATGCAAGGAGGGAAGAGTATATGGAGAAAAAGAGAGAGGTTAAGAGAGGGTGGTGAAGCAATGTAAAAAGAGAGCAAATTTAGAAAGGGGGGTGAGATGTTATCAACAAATTTTGTTGGGAAAAAAAGAAAAAGTTTTGGTAGGTGAGATTAACAAGTTAAGAAAACCTAGAGAACAAATGGATTTGTCAGTTAAAAATAGGAGAGGAGAGTTATTAAATGGGAGAGTTAGAGGTATTGGGAAGATGGAGGGAATATTTTTAGGAATTGTTAAATGTTGATGAAGATAGGGAAGCTGTGATTTGGGTATAGGGCAAGGGGAATAACATCTTGTAGGAGTGAGGAAGAGCCAGTTGTGAGTGTGGGGGAAGTTCGTGAGGCTAGTAGGTAAAATGAAAGGGGGTAAGGCAGCGGGATTGATGGGATAAAGATAGAAATGTTAAAAGCAGGTGGGGATATAGTTTTGGAGTGGTTGGTGCAATTATTTAATAAATGTATGGAAGAGGGTAAGGTTACTAGGGATTGGCAAGGAGAGCATGCATAGTTCCTTTGTATAAAGGCAAAGGGGATAAAAGAGAGTGCAAAAATTATAGGGGGATAAGTCTGTTGGTGTACCTGGTAAAGTGTATGGTAGAGTTATAATTGAAAGAATTAAGAGTAAGACGGAGAATAGGATAGCAGATGAACAAGGAGGCTTTAGGAAAGGTAGGGGGTGTGTGGACCAGGTGTTTACAGTGAAACATATAAGTGAACAGTAATTAGATAAGGCATAAAGAGGTCTTTGTGGCATTTATGGATTTGGAAAAGGCGTATGACAGGGTGGATAGGGGGGCAATGTGGCAGATGTTGCAAGTGTATGGTGTGTAGGAGGTAGGTTACTGAAAGCAGTGAAGAGTTTTTACGAGGATAGTGAGGCTCAAGTTAGAGTATGTAGGAAAGAGGGAAATTTTTTCCCAGTAAAAGTAGGCCTTAGACAAGGATGTGTGA